TAATAATTACTACCAGAGAGAAGCCTGAGAGGGGCCACGCCGGCGTTTTTCTTACGACGCTTTAACTAGCCGGTACAATGGCGCTAATTAGATCCATTTTATGGCCGAGCGGAACTATATGTGCCACTGTAAAACGACCGGGTGGTTCATGTCTCTGCTAGATCCATAATTGTGGATCTCAAAAGCAATGGTGTACTGATATACATATTTCATATTAGTAGCGTTGCATGTGATCTTTTTTCAATTTACTATTTTTATTTTCAGTGTAGTACATATTAAGGACATTGATATATGTAATATATTATTGAAATATTGTTATAGAAATTATTAATATGATTTTTTATGTTTATATCAAGAGACACGGTAGTGTCTCGCGCCAAGTCACGCGAAGCAAAGACCACGCGTAGTAATAGCGAGGCACCCCGGGTATCTATACGCGAGTCGGATAGTTGAAAGTACCTTAGATTACCAGATCTAAATAACGGCTGAACCGATCGAATTCTTGATAAGCTTAATCGGTAGCTTGGGTTCGATTTATATAAGGAAAGTGTCTTTATTTTCGCTCTGCATGTTCTATAAAGCAAAGATATTACGAAGCAAAGTCGAAATGTGGAAATTTTCATGTAAGAAACGTCACCATCGTCATCATCATCATCGTCGTCGTCGTCGTCGTCGTCCCCTTTACCGCTATATATGTATACAACACATGCATAGAATATAGTGGTATTATGCTACACGTATATATACACGTAGAGTCCTAGATTATCAGAGAGGCGCCAACTAGTTCCTCCTCCTGATTGGTCGATTAAAATAGCCGCCATGTTAGAACACAAACGTCACACGTATAGCCTGACAGAGCTGTCAATCAAATGTGGTTGTGTTAATATTAAAGTGTTAGTTTAAATAAGTTCATATTATAATTTCTTGTAACCACGGTAAGTAGAAATGTCTTATATATGTTATATACGTCTTAGGTAAATATGCATATTAGGTTACACCTCACCGATGACTTTGACCTTGATATATGTTGTCAAGGACATGACCTTGAGTAACTTTTCCTTATAACATAACCGGCGGTCTCTTATAGTTTCTGAGATATTTAAAGTTATGATTTCACAATTTTAATGATTTTTCTATTATAAAATAAAGAAAAATAAAAACTGTAAATTCAACCGACAAATCTGAACGGTAAGAGCCGCAAGCAAAACACGAGCGAGAACAAACATCGTCGCGATCAGCCGATCGGCGCGTGATCGCGCGATCATAACAAAGAAAAAGTGTGACAAACACCTAGATTCTCGAACTTTCGGCGCCGAAAATATCCTATTATGGAAATCGGTCGACCGCGACCCTTTTCCGTCGTTCTTCAGTCTGCCGCTGACAACGATTCGAGCTGGTCGATAGCAATCGATCATAGTTTCTAGTATTATCATTTTTCGTATGATATTCTCTCGTGTCTTATTCTCGCTTGTGTCGTGTCGCGTTACTCATTGTCCAATTCGCATTCTATTCAATTTTAAACCAAAGTGTCTCGCTCACGATCGCATCATATTATCGTGGCAATCAGTTCTTGATGGTTAAATCGTTTAATCGTTTCGTTTGTTAGTGAAGATTGTTCAATTGTAAGTGGGGAGTCCGAGAGCCGCCGACCGTTCACGCATCGCGTATGTGCTCTGCCTCGCGCTAAAAACCATCCGGCGTCCGCGCACAAGATTTCCGGTCTCGCGAGGATTTCTAGCAAGAAGTCCTTTAAGATTTCCGAAACGCGGAGAAGGACAGGTCATCGAAGAACATTCAGAAGATTTCCGATCTTAGTCGCGGGACACGTGTCGAGACTCGCTCCCGGTGTTTTCTAATAAACGTTCTTAAAACTACGCTCACGTAAGTAATCATTCAAATCCTATTCCTCCAGTGAATCTACGGATTCGCGCTACACATTGCTTCTCGCTCAACTCTGAGCGTATCTCTCAAGATTCGGGCGATCTCGTCGAGGTCGACTCCGGAACATTATTATTATTATTATTATTATTATTATTATTATTATTATTATTATCATTCGTCTCTTTGTTAAGTCATAAACAGAAATTTATCAGTTTCTAACCGGCAACAAATTGCAATAATAAAAATTGACCAAACATTTTTTTTCCGTAAAAAAACAAGGTCACCTTGACTTTTTTAAATGGAACCATTGTATTTTTTTTTTTTAATAATAATGTAGAGGATAGCAAAACAAATTCAATGAGTACACACAATGTTATTTTAAGTTACATTGCAACACAAAATAAACCATTTTAAATTCGCTAAAGCGTAATTCTTCGCTATCGAGGAAGTTCACTAGAAACGTAAATAGTAAACAAACGTAATAACATACTAGTTAAAGTAGATGTTCAAATTGCATTCCACCTTCCGCAACACATAGTTCCGCTCTTTTCAACAAATTATTATGTGTCATCACCTTAATGATGACATCTTAATGATAGCATCAGCTAAACTGGAATGTTTTATGCTTCTGCAGGCCCTTATTATGCGTTCTCGAAGGTCATCGATACTATTAATCGGTGTTTCATTGTATACAACTGACTTTAAATATCCCCACAAATAAAAATCTAATGGAGATAAATCCGGTGAACGAGCCGGCCAGCGACATGGACCGTATGTACTGATCAACCGATCTCCGTACACGGTGTTCAGATAATTTCTAACTATTATTGCGTTATGTGCTGGACATCCGTCTTGTTGAAAATACATGCTTCTTCGTATATCGTAAGGAACGTCTTTCATTAGTTGGGTCAAATTAATCCGCAAAAAATCGAGAAAAGATCGAGACGTTAGGTTTTCTTCGTAAAGATATGGTCCAATTAAATAACCGTTCAAAATGCCACACCAAACATTAATACTTATTTTGTTTTGAAAATTACGCATACGAGTCCAGTGCGGATTCTCCGTTGCCCAAAAATGTCGATTATAACGATTCACAATACCGTTATTCGTAAATTTTGATTCATGTGTCCACATTATTTTATTCAAAACTTCATGGTCTTCTCCGTAAGCAGTGATTAGCCATGCAATAAATTGTAGGCTTCGCGGACCATCAGTTAAGCGTAAATGTTGTATCAATGTCATTTTGAATGGATAATACTTGTTCTTCTTTGCAATTCTGATAAGTACAAAATATATATATATGTATATAGTATATATATATGTTAATATATATTCATATATTTTATATTAAAAAAAATATAATAAAAGAGCTTGTTTTCCCTGCCGAAAATGGTCGATTAAAACGGATTTAAAAAAATGTAATCTGAATCGATCGAGTTTTCTGCACCGAAAA